TTAGGTCCTTTCCCTCCTGACACCCACACTCACTCACCCTTTGGATTTCTGGTCAGGGCCAGGTTGGCCAGGAGCAGCAGAAGGAGAGCCTCTCGAACAAAGGTCTTCATCCTGCTTGAAGAGTGGACACTGAGTCTCTGCTCGTCTCTGTTCATTTTATAATCATGATATGGATGAGGCTGATTGGCTTCTCTAAGAATTCCCAATGGTAGTGATAGAGAGCATTATGGAAGAGGAACCTCTAGGGCCCTATTTCCCCAGCTCAGATCCAGCTCTGGGACTTTGGACTCTAAGAGACGTGTATAGGGACAAGTTGCTTACCCTGGTTGTTGTCCACCTCATCCTGGTCAAAATATCCTTCTGAGTACAGCCCAGAGGCCATTGAGCCAGCATTTCTCACACTGAGATGTCAGGATGTCTAGAGACTTAGATATTGATTGACTCTCAAAGGTATTTATGCTTGTGTGGATTATATCAATCCCTGTCACTGTGGTAGGAACTGAGAATTTTAAAACATTTCTTCATTGAACATTAATGACAAAGTGCATGTAAGCAAAATGTCAACAAAAATTAATGACTGTTTTCCAAAATACAATGATATGGTGAAACAAATGGATGTTGACATGCCTGCCTATATTATCCTCCCCTCTCCCACTTGACATATCTTGGCTTCTGATTCTCCTCCTTAGCTTTTTAGTTTTATGTATACTGTATGTATCTTCTCAAAAAGGTACATGAAAAATAGTTTTAAGATTTATTCTTATTTTTTGTTCATAATTATATTTGTCTGTGTATGGATGTGTGAGTTTGGGAGTACAGCAGTCTGTGGAGGCCAGAATCAGCTATAGGTAACCCTTCAAGGGAGGAACAAAAGGTTGTGATCTCCCAGACTTCTAGGACTCCAACAGTGGATATCTACACAGTTAAGCCATCTCTCCATACTCAAAGGATAGTGTTTTTATTAACATCTTCAAATTATTTGACTTTTACCCATTTTTTTTAGGTTGGCCTAGAAGTCATAGTCATCCACATGTCTCAGTCCCCTGAGAAATGAGAGAATCCATGTACCACCATACCGGGCTCAGTGTAGATTTTTATCTTTTATATTGCACAAGGTTCATTCAGGTGTTACTTACATTGTGGAACTCAAAACATCAAAGAATCCTTCATAGATTGCTACATCCATTTTCATAGGAGAATCGAATTCATTGAGTTATTAAATTTTACTTTTCAAAATTAGAATAATATTGATCAAATTCATTGATGTTCATATTTCTTAACAAATTTTTATTCTAAATAATGGGTACAGATTGAGTGTAGAATTTTCCTTATTTACTTTACAACTCTGATAGCTAGGATGATGCTCACTGGCTTTTCTAAGAATTTACAATGTGAGTGACAGAGTCCTGAAATGTCATGGATAGATTAAGGAATAAAAGCAAGAGCCCCAGAGCCCTGATTCTCCACCACAGATCCATCTCTGTGCCCTGGTATCCTAGGAGCAGTGTCTGGGGACAAGTTGCTTACCCTGATACTTGTAATTGCCCTGTTGACAATATCATTCTGAGTCTTAGCCCAGATGTTGATATGGATGACAGAATCAAGGAAGCAAAGGAATCAAAAGACCTAGGTCTACCACTGAAGCATCCACCTCTAGTTCCTGATCTGGAGTTCACTGGCTTCACTATTATGTTATGGTTCTTTCATGGCCACCACAGTCCACCTTCAATACTCCTTGGCTTCCTGGTGATCTTATCTCACAGATGTATGAGGGAGGCAAAATATCAGGATGGGACGTTATCATACAGTCCATGTCCTCAGAGAACATAGAGGAGATGAGGCAGGAGCTGAGTAGGATAAAGTGCTATTGACAGAACTCTAAAGATTCCCAGCTCAGACATTGTGGCAATATCTCCACATGACACAAGGCTGAGCCCTCTACAGATACCTAAACCCAGGCATGAAACACAATATTCTGGACACCCATGTGGGACCTACTAAACACATGATATTACCCAACTTGGGAGTGAAATGGCCACCATTCCATATCTGTGCGACTTAGGACCCAGGTGTCTTTTCTAATAACCTCCCTTTTACTGAGTCCTATTCTGAGCTGGCCTCCCGTGCCTCTAATGTGTCCACAGGGCCATTATTTTTCTCTCTGCTTTACTCTTGGTGCCAGAATCTGAGGCTGTGCGATGGGGTAAGCCACATGGTTGTATAACTGTGACTTCGGCCGGGTGAGATATGGAAAACAATAGAAATCCTGGATGGTGAAGACTCCCTGTACCTGAGATCCCCCCCCCCCCGGCCCCCTGTCTACAGAGGCTGTGAGGTCAGATGTGGCTCAGATTTTATCTCCATAGACTTGGTGCTTTGTTCCAGGTGTAGAGGGTGCTCTAGGAGGATCTGGGTTCAAGTCTGCTAGCCTGGAATGGACAGGATGTCTCAAACACACACACACACACACACACACACACACACACACACACACACACAGAAAAGAGAGATGAACAAGCAACAAGCTTTCCTTCTTTAATCCCCACTTTTAGGAGATTGCCTCTCAGATTTACTCTTCAATAAGTGATGCAGAATCTGCCAGGTAAGTCACTTTGTTCCAGGCCCCCAGATTCAGCAATGAAAACCAGGTCAAAATCACCACCCTAGGATTTTGAAAGAAGGCTTAGTTGGTAAAAGTGCTACCTACTCTAACAATGGACCTGTGCTCATTTCTAAGCACACCCAAAGGGCCACTCATAACCTCCTATTACTCCACCTGTGAGAAATTTGATGTACTCTTGCAAATTCGACAGGTATCCCCAATCAATTAGCATGTACTACACACACACAAACATACACAATGAGTAAAAACTAAAAATAAACCATAAAAACCAGTGCCCTTGGGCAGAAATAAGTTGAGTAGTTGTGAAGTTGTCATCCATGCCCACTGGTGGTGTGGATTATTCTGCTTTTCTGTTGCTGCGATGAAACACAATAAGCCAAACCAAATTGAGGAAGAAAGAGTTTATTTTAAATTTGATAAATCCTAGGTCACAGTCAATCACTGAGCAAGTTAGAGCAGGAATTCCCAGCAAAAACTGAAGCAAAAGCCCTGAAGAATGCTCCTTACTGGCATGGTCAGCCTGCCTTCTATATCATCCAGGAACAAGTGCCCAGCCTTTGTTTCATGAACAGTGAGTTGGGCCATCCCACTTCAATTATTAATCAAGAAAATGTCATACTTACTTGCCTCCAGGCAATCTGGTGGAAAGATTTTATCAATTGAGGTTCCTCCTCCCTGATAAGTCTAGCTTCAGTCAGATAAACAAAACTAAATAAAAGTCAGAACAAGGTTTGAATGATAAAATCCCTTCTAGGCTCAATTCTTTACTCACTTGGTCACATCTGGTGGTGCTCCTGGGAGAAGTTATCAAACTTCCTGAACTAGAGTCCAGCTGGAGGAATCCTTCATGTCCTGAAAATGTTCTCTCACAGTCACAGCTCAGCTTCACAGCCATGGTGAGCACCCTAATAAAACAGTTATCTGAGATGCCCCACACGCATACTGTGGATCACCTGTCACCTACCACTTGCCCCCTCCTCTATGAACACTGTCCTTTGTGACTCTGCAGAGAGTCTTCTCTCCTTGTTCCACAAAACACATAAACTCCAGGCTGGTTTGCACTTTGAGACTGTTTGAAGTTCTGTGATGGTTTCTACATGGAAACATTTCCTTTTCTTATGTAATAGCCCTCAACAAATATCAGTTAGATTTAGTGATCACAGCAGTCTAGTTCTCCACTGGGGAAAAGAGAGAGTACAGTTAAGTCAGATAAGTCAGTGAAAAACAACCAGGCCCTTGAAGAGGCTCTTTCTGTCTTGAACTCTGGACTCACATACATAGTTCTGAATGAAAGACATGGATCCTAAATTAGCAGTAGGATGTTGTAGGGTGCACGACTACTTATTTTCATTTTTTTTCTTTATGTAGTCCTGGCTCTCCTGAAACTCACTTTGCATACCAGGCTGACCTGGGACTCAGAGATCTGCTTGCCTCTGCCTCCTGAGTGCTTGGATTTAAGGTATGTGCCATCACCATCTTACTTCTCATTTTGCTTTGTAAGTGGAGTCTGGGTCAGTACTGGATTCTCTTCACTTTATAACCCTGATCTCATGTTTGCTTATTACGTTCTCTAATAATTACCAATAGAAGAGAGAGAAACATGGTAATTGGGTAATGAAAAGATCAGCCCCTGGGCACTAGGAATCACTACAGCCTGTTTTCTGTCTCCAACCTTGATCTTTGGCTTGATATCCCAGGAGCAGTGCCTGGGGGACAAGGCTTTTCCTTGATCCATATCCTGACCTTGATCAAAACATTCTTCTCATCTCAGAAGAATGGGCAATATGTCAGCAATTCTAGAACATTTTGCTCTCAGTATGACTACACACACTTAGAAATTGTGTGAACCTCAAGGTAAATATGCTTATGTGGTTTATATCCATCCATATTGATTGTGTCAAATACTGTGAGTTGAGACATTCAAGTAATTCATGATAATATTAAATAAGTCAGACTTGAAGACCCAGGACCATTTGGTCCTATTAGAGGGGACTTGTAGCATTTTTGAATTCTGACCCTTGTGACAGGTGGTCAGGTCAGTGTAATGCAGACAGTGAGATACCAGCTTCCCTAATCAGCTCATGTTAATAAAAGGAATGCCTCTGAGCAGCCAGGTGTAGGAAACGTTTTCATCTGAGGTTAATTAGAAACAAATTTCAGTCTACCTATGACTGATGAAATAAGAAAACATGCATGCTTTCTGGTGTTAACTTTCTCTTTTACTTCATCTTAAAAATGGTCTCTGACTCTTTCTGTCTCCACACTGCTCTAGATCTCCACACTGCTGCATATAGCTAAATACCTTTATGTACACACATTTTTTACATGGCTACACATCTCTCTTTTGCACACATTTTACTTCTACATGTCTTTTCTGTACAACTGTGTCTTCTTTGTCTCCATACAGTTACAAATCTCTGCCCAACAACAGGCAAATATCTCATTCACTTAGCTCTCTCAGCATACATCACTTTAAACAGTTCCTAA